AGTGATCAACTGATCTTATTCAACTACCAATATTGAAATCAACATTTACATTAAGATCTCAATGAAAAGAGGAATAGGTAAAGAGGCAAAGGAAGACAATTTTTGGGTGGGTGGAACCTTAAAGGCTTGTTTGGTTTGTGGATTTCAGATGGGAGGGGAGGAAACAATTGTTTTATACGAAGTATTTACTAATTTATCTCTATGTGTTATTGTTAGACTAAAAAATAAAAATAACTATATGATTAGTTAGACCGTGTATTTATAAATGGTTTTTATGTTCACTTTATTTCTAATATTCTAAATGTGGATATAATTAAAACAATATCAGCCTCCCCTTCCGTCTCCCCCGAACCCCCCCAACCAAACTAGCCCTAAAGGCCTGTTCTAACAAATTCTGAACTAACAACTTCATGGTTATAACGGATAACAATAGGAGTAAAGAACTATAGAACTTTGTAAGAACTCAGTATGAATAAACTATTGTAAATGAGTTTTCACATAATTTAAATCATAGAGATTTCTTCCGGAAATCACAAGTCAAATAGCTAACTAGACTTATATGTAAACATAAGAAATTAAGCATGTTCATTATCCACTACTCAAGATAGTGAATGAAACCCTTCACACTCACCATTCCAGTATGACAACTAAGGATATTATTCTCTGACTTGGGATTAAACAATGATCAATAATGGAAGAACAATAGATGATTTAAAAACAAAGGTTTATTAAAATGATATTAAAAACAATATAAATTAAGCAACCTTTCATCATCATCATCGTCATTATCCCAGTGCCACAAAGGCTCCCACCTACGATGAGATAAGGGGGTCGGATGTACGCATCCTTACCCCTGTACTAAAGCACAGAGGATCCATGATGAAACTCACGTTTGAAAATGCATGCTGCTTCCCAACAACAAACGCAGAAAGTGTAGTGAGCCATTTTGCTTTATTCGATCAAATTAAGCAACCTTTACTACGAAAAAATAATTAATTCTCCTCCTCTAAAAGTTACCAGACTAACCAACCTATTAATACGTGTAAAGATCAGCACAAACCTGAGTTTTTCTTTTGGACAAGGTCTAATAGATGCGGTTGTGCTGAGAGGCCCTATTTAATCAATGTCACGTCTGTATTTTTGGGTACATTTTTATAGAAGTAAAAATTGTGTAGTTGAGTTTTGATGCAGAGCAAATAGTAACACTATAAACCACATATTTATTTCTATAAAAGGAAAATGACAGAGTGTTAGTGGGACATGGGAGTATGCTTTATGATGGTTGTTTATAACACAATCACACACTTGAGCATCTTAGAATAGGAGGGATTTTATGAGCTTTCTATGCATAAGTTTGAGGGATATTGCCATTTTGTTTATATCATTTGATGACTGAATGAAATGAGCATAAATAGTCTATCTTCTTCTTTGACAAAAGAAGTAATTTGTTTGAGTTGATTTATTCTCTTGCTTGCAGGAGAATCCAGATCTGTGGAAGTGGTTGACAGGTCAGGAGCAAGCTCCAGATGCAATAAGAACCAATCCTGTAAGAAAGCAGATCCCAAATTCAGATTTGTCTTTGCACTAACGGTTCCTAACTGATAATTTTTGGCTCTAGGTGTTCACTGCTGTACACGAAAAGGTCCTAAACAACCTCGACAAACACACGTCCCCTGAGACTCGCGCCACTCCCGGACAGGAATGGGTGAGAGGGTGGGATGATTTCAAAAGAGGTCGGGATGGCCCTATAGCTGGGAATCAGTAGCACTTTTTTGTGTTTGCTTGCTTGAGATCAACTGTGTATGACTAAAAAAGGAGGAAATAAATTAAATATCTCAAACTTTCAAGGGTGTGAGATGAGTACCTTAAACTTCCACATGTTATATACGATAGTATATACCCTAAACTTTATGTAATTTCGTTGGCACCATTATTATATATTTTTTCACAAATGTAATTTTATGGTGTTAAGTACATAATTTAAAATACACAAAACATTTATGAGGATGCAATTAAAATTAAGTTTTACAGGATGTAAAATTATTTATTTCACAAACGAAATTTTAGGATGTTAATTGCATTCTAACAAAGCTTAGAGTATTTTAATTTATGTAATTATTCCAACAAATTTGTATTTGTAAAAAACATGCAATCATGATGTGAAAATTACTTTTTATATAAAATTTGGGGTTATATATATTACATATGCAAGTTTGTGTTGTTTACCTCACACCACATTAAAGTTTGGAGTATTTTAATTATTTTCCTCATAATGTGATATATATAGAAGAAGAATAACATATACTCTGTAGTACGTATGCCATTGCTATTGAATTTTCTGTAAGATTTCAAGTGACATATAAAAGACTATACTAGCATCCTTTTAGCTCTGAGCAATTGAATCTCAATCTAGTAGGGGTGACATTTATCGTATCTATTGGTGGAGCCAGACATTTATTTTTAAAGAGGCCGGTCCTTGAAAATTTTACATTGCATGAGGCAAAATTTATTGCAGGGGCCGGCCCCTTTCAGCCCCTCCCTGTCTCCACCCCTGATCGTCCAAAGGTAGAAATCTTAAAAATAATCGTCATATACCGGGTTGAGTTTAACTGATGCTTTTTATATGAACCTGCGTTGGTTTCTACTATGTTAGAATAAAAACTGGACCTAAATATATCTGATATTGTTTTATGGATTCTAGAACCGGAACAGAGGATGGCTTTGTTGTGAATAAAAATCATAGGGATCTCGTTTACGCATGCATCCATTCCACTGGCTTATCTTTAGATGAATCTTATGCTAAAAAAGTTCTTACTGTTACTTGATGACAAAAAGTGGTTATATGGAATTTTTGGAAATGCTTTGTAAAAAAAACTTCTTTAACATTGTGATATGCAAACCCTTCATTTGAAACTGTCCAAAAAGTTTGATATTATTTGTTATGGAGCTATTGTGATGAATGAAAAGAGAGTCGAGTATCAACTCAGCACGTTATAAGTTCATATACTTGAATGTGCAAGTGTCTATATAATAATAGGCTAAGTTCATTACCTCATGCAAATCCACCACCTTTTCTTTTTATGTATAATAATGTATTCAAACTTTCAAAGCAAAACTTGTGTATTTTGAAAAAATAACTTCACATTTCCTCATTATCAATGGTCACACTATTTTGTGATCTCATCATATTCATGAATCATATCTCGTTTAGATTTTACCTATTTGTGTTAGTAAGGACGGGGTATCTAAGTTACCATTTTCAATAATGTCAGTATTTTTCTATGCATGTATGTTAAGCAGTCTCAAACGATTCTAGTACAGTTTTTTGGGTTCTTTTTCTAACAATATGAACTTCACTAGTTTGTATATTCTCTCTATCATCTAGCTCTATCATTTTTACATTTTCATTGTCAAAAGTCACAATTGTAAAATAACAAATACGGAGTATTTGGAGTTTATAGCGTAAAACAGAATCATTTTTTTACCAATGGAAAATATATATTTTTAGGTAAAACTAGGTAAACATTTTTGGGTTCATTATTTCAGTACATTCCTATGTGACATTAAGTTATTAGATTATTTTAAGTAAATGAATTGAAAACTTTTGAAAGGATAAATTGCTAACTTTTCAGAACCTAATAAGTTGGTGTCACGTGGAAATGTACTAAAAATGTATCCAAAATGTTTACCACCAACTTTATTTGTAAAATATTGCACCCTTATTTAAATAGGTTATGTTGGTATAATGGGCTGAGTCAAATACTGTTGTCCAGTTATCGGGCAGCCTTGCCCATTAATATTAAATTAGTATTGCTTCAATAATTGGCCAATTAGCATTTAATGAGTGGATCACATGATGTAAACGCTTATAAAGTATAAACTAGCCATCAACTCGATCTCATGTAATCCTTGCATCAATTTTAGATTATTAGTTAAAAATATCCTCAACTATCATTAAATTCACAAATTTATTCCATACTTCCACTTTTATTAAAAAAGACTCAAACTTCAACTTTTCTCACAATTACACTTTCAATGGATGAATTAGTAAAACTTAAGAAAATCATATTTATATTTCATATTTTTCACTTCTTTCTAGTTTTAAGTTTACAAGTTTGTATTGCATATATCTTCTTACATTGATAAAAATGTGTAATTTTGAAAAAAAAAAGAAGAAAAAAAGCATGATTGTTGAAAAAGATAAAGTTGGAGTCTTTTTTGATAAAAGTGAAAGAGTAAGATAGATTTGTGAATTTGATGATAGTTTGGAATAAAATAAGCTAATAATCCTTAATTTTACTATACGGAATTGTTGCGAGGTAAGAGTCAGATTGGTACTCGAAGATGCATAAAAATGGTCAAATAAGTCCTTACTGTCCGGCCGTCGCCATTTGAGGCGGTTCCCTATGGATTTTTTTGATGAATTTTTTTGAGCATCTTATTCATTAAGTCTAATTTACTCACACCAAATTTCAGCTAAAACTTCAATTAGGAAGGCATTCAAATGAATTCTTGAAGATAACTACGCTTTTAACTGAGCAGTTATCTTCAAGAATTCATTTGAACACCTTCTCGGTTGAATTTTTAGCTGAAATTTGGTATGAGTGAAGTAGACATAATGAATAAGATGCTCAAAAAATTTTTGTCAAACAATTCCACCGGGAACCGGTCCAAATGACGACGGCCATACAGAGCCTCCTATATAAGAACTTATTTGACTCTTTTTATGCAACTTCGAGTACCAATCTGACCCTTACCTCGAATTGTTGCTGCTTTATATGTAGCTTATTTCCTACCAACATGACAAGTTTTGATTGGGCATTTGAAAATTGAAATAAATGGAACTGTAAAATACAAAAAAGAGCCAAATGTTAGTTGTTCGGCTCTGGTTAGATTTTTTGTTTTCTAGTATTACAAAATTAGTGTTTGGTGCTATATCTATAACTAATTTCTCTTTTAATAAGATACGGAGTATTAAGTTGTTGGATTTCTTATTGAACCAAACATTATGAAATCCAAAGAGGGAGAGATATGGAGTTTGTATGATCAACCACACGTACTTTTCCTTACTTTTTCGTATGATCTACATTACAAAATCAAATGGTTTCTGATGCAGAAGCTTATCTATAGGAAGCTGCGTCGTCGCTTCCGGAAGATGAGGCCGAGGGGTCTGAGTCTCCCTCGGCGGATGAAGAATCCTGATGAGGATTTGAAGCTTCCCCTATCGGAGAGGCAGCCTCCGATCCTAAGTTCATCCGCAGGGGAAGAGCCCTGGAGCGACAGTGACGACTACTTGCTCGAGGGGCCTGCCGACTCCCAGGCCGATGAGGATGGCGGTGGTGATGAAGCTGGTGGCGGCAGCGGAGAGGACGTTGGCCAGAGCAAGGAGCAAGCCGATGAGGCAGCGTAGGTTGTGCTTTGCTTTTTTATTACTTTTGTAGCTCTAGCACCAAAGTGCATGTAACGGCCGAAGCGCCCACCTTTTGTATTCGATATCCGGAATTAATGAACTCTTTTGCCTTTGAATGAATGTGTTGCTTCGTCTTTATCGTCTTCGTATTCCTTTTTATTTTTTCAAAGATTTTTTGCCGAGTATCAGGGGGGGGGTGCGCCCCTGCGTGATTGAGACGAAGCGCTCCTTCGTCTGCGCTCCTTCTTCAGCATCAAAACATGTCTCGCATGTTTAAGACGCCGCGATCCCTTATGAGTTATAAGAACGCAACGGCTTAGGTGATGTATTCCATCGTCTGGAGTGAGGTGTGGTCTCAATGTTTTAGCGTCTTTTACTTGAGACGTTGCAATCCTTCTTCCATTTGTTGCCATTAGGTACGATGCATCTCGTCATCTTTGTGTGCTGTTTTTGTCTTGGACAGTCTTTTTTGAAGACGAAGCGGTGTCTAGATATGGACTGGTAGCGCATCGGCTCCTTTTGAATGTGACTTTGAAAATTTTTCTAAGTGTCAAACATTAGAAGACGATGCTATTTGAAGACGATGCGTTCCTTCGTCCAAGTGATGGGGTGCGGTTCTGTGTAGTTGAAATATGAAGCGATTCAATCTTAGGATGTTGTGGTTGAGGCCGAAGCGTGCACCTCGGATTCCTGTTAGGTGAAAACCTGATATGTACTTTAGCCGATTTTGAGGCTTTGGTTTTTGTGGGGATTTTATTTTTTGCTCGAGGCCGGCGAGTGCGCGGTCCGTCGGCTTCCCTTCTCTTTTTTTTTTTTTTTTTTTTTTTTTTTTTTTTTTTATAGGTGGCCGAAGGGTTACTGTCCCTTAGTCCATTTGCGGTAGTTTGTCCGCTACGCTCTTCGCGTGAATTAGTGCGAGGGAGTAAATACGCCCTCGGCTTGGTGTCAGTGGCTTCCTTTTTTGGCCTTTCCACGTCTATCGTCGACGAGGGACCGGACAAGGCATCGTCTTTTGACGGCCGCCCTTTGTGGTCCTGAGCGAAATTTTACTGACGGGTGGAGTTTTTGTAACCTCAGCCTTAATTCAGGCCTGTCGTCCTGCGGTTTCCGCGCGGACGACGCGGTATGCTTCTCCGTTTGAAGACGTTGGACCATGCACACAGGTCCTTCGTCCTGCATATCGCCGGCCGATTTGGGTGTTTCACCGCTTGTGCCGATACGATATTTAGGTGCGTTGTTTATTGCAACGGCTTTGTAGGCGCGTTGTGGATCGCAACGGCCTTAAGTGCATTGTGTATTGCAACGGCTTTGGGTGCGTCGTTTATTGCGACGGCTTTGGGTGCGTTGTTTATTGCAACGGCTTTTAGGTCGCACCGGACCCGGGTGATTACACCGCTTAGGCCGATGCGGTCTTTGGGTTTCTTTTGCTCAAATCTTAAAAGATTGGATGAAACATGAATTTTATTCAATAAGTGGCGCTAGGCCGAGGGTGTTTTATTCAACCATTAAGCCGAGGGGTGGGGGACGTTGCCCGCTTCACCACTTCTCGAGTCATTGGTAAAATTTCACCAGGTGGTGTACATTCCACAATCGTGGTACATCTGACCCATTAGGGTTCTTTAGTTTATAAGTGCCGGCTTTGATGACGGCGCTGACGATGTAGGGCCCTTCATATTTGACGGCGAGCTTTCCTCCTTCCGTCGGCTTGCTTGCTTCCCTTCGGCGGAGGACGTAGTCCCCCACTTGGAATTCGCGAGAGCGGACTTTGGCGTCGTAATAGGATTTGACTTGTCGTCTGTAGTTCTCCGCTCTGAGGTAGGCCATTTCTCGTCTCTCATCGATGAGGTGTAGGTCCACCTTCATTGTTTCTTCGTTGGCTTCGGGATCGTATTGTGTGACGCGTCGGCTAGGAAGCGTCACCTCAGTGGGAGCCTTGGCTTCAAAGCCATAGCATAAAGAGAATGGCGTCTCCCCAGTGGCCCTCCTTGGAGTAGTTCGGTAAGACCATAGGACGTTGGGGAGCTCGTCGACCCAACTTCCGCCTTCTTCCTCGAGTTTCTTCTTCAGCCCCTCCAAGATGGTTCTGTTGGCGTTTTCAACTTGCCCGTTGGCCTGAGGGTAGGCAACGGAGGAGAAACGGTGCTTGATGCCCCACTCTTGGAGGAGGCTTTGGAATGGTTCGGCCTCAAACTGGGTGCCGTTGTCTGATATGATCTCCTGAGGCACGCCGAAGCGGGTGAGGATGTTCTTGTAGACGAACTTTCGACACCGCGCTCCGGTGATGCTTGCGAGTGGTTCGGCCTCGACCCATTTGGTGAAGTAGTCGATGGCGACAATGATGTATCTGTTGTTGCCCGCTGCTCTTGGTAGTGGGCCGACGAGGTCGATGCCCCATCTGGAGAATGGGATGGCAGTGCTGACCGGGGCGTAGTTGACGGCCGGTCGGCCAGGTGCTCTTTGATAGTGTTGGCATGCGCTGCATTTGCGAGCGACTTCAGCACAATCGCGTGCCATCGTCGGCCAAAAGTAGCCCTGGACAACGAGGCGGCGCGACATGCTGAAGGGTCCCTGGTGTGATGAGCATACACCGCAGTGGACTTCTTCCATGGCCTCTTCGGCCTCATTCTGGTGTAGGCACCGGAGGAGGGTGCCATTGTATGATCTTTTGTAAAGCTTGTCACCCTCAATGACATAGCTAGGGGCCCTGAGCTTGACTAGTTTGGCCCTCTCCTCGTCTTCTGGTAGCGTGCCGGAGGTGATGTAGGTTGCGATGTCAGTGATCCAGTCCTCCGGCTGGTGTTGGATGGAGAGTATAGGGCTAGCATGAATGCTTGACATGCTCAACTCCTCCACCTTTGCTATCTTGGAGATGTGCTCAGGGGTGTCGGAGCTGAGTTTGGAGAGTATGTCGGCCTCGGCATTCTCCGCCCTTGGGATCTGAGTGATCTCGTAGGTATCGAACGCTTTGAGCAATTCCGCAGCGGCCTCCTTGTATTGCTTCATCCTCCCTTCTTTTGCCTCGTAGGAACCCTCCATCTGGCTCACTACGAGTTTGGAGTCGCATTTGATTCTGACGTGGCGTGCTTTGAGGCCAGCGGCTAGTCTGAGTCCGCTGAGGAGCGCTTCATACTCGGCTTCATTGTTGGACACTTTGAAGTTGAAGCGGATGGCGTAGTACGCTCTGAAACCTTCCGGGGAGATGAGGACGACGCCACCCCCACAAGCTTTGGTGGCCGAGGACCCGTCCGTGTAGAGGGTCCAGGCTTCGTCTGGTTCAACTCCTGTGGTGGTAACGGCCGTCTCCCTTGCCGTGCACTCGGTGACAAAGTCAGCCAAGGCTTGCCCTTTGATGGATGGCCTCGGCTTGATCTCAATCTGGTACTGGCTCAAGAATATTGCCCACTTGATCATCCTTGGGGAGCTGGTTGGGCTCCTCATGAGGGCGCCCAACGGTTGATGCGTGAGGACGTGGACGGGGTGAGCCTGGAAATAGTTCCCCAGCTTCTTTACCGTGTGGACGATGGCCAGCACCGTCTTCTCAATGGGGGAGTACCTGAGCTCGGCCTCCCGCAACGTCTTGCTGACGTAGAATATTGCTTTTTGTACTCCGTCATCCTCCCTGATGAGTACAGAGCTCACGGCCGACGTGCTCACTCCTAAGTAAAGGAAGAGAGTCTCGCCGGGTTGGGGCTTGGATAGGACGGGTGGGGAGGCGAGATATTGCTTCAGTTCGTCAAAGGCTTGTTGGCACTCCGTTGTCCATTTAAAGCTGGTGGCCTTCCTCATTATCTGGAAGAAGGGGAGCGACTTCTCCGCGGATTTTGAAAGGAAACGGTTCAGGGCCGCAAGGCGTCCCGTCAGCCGTTGTACTTCTTTGATGTTGCGGGGTGGTTCCATATTGATGATGGCTTGTATTTTTTCCGGGTTCACCTCGATGCCTCTTTGACTGACCAGGTACCCCAGGAATTTACCTCCCTGGACGCCGAAGGTGCACTTCTTTGGGTTGAGCCGGAGGTTGTATTTCTTCATGATCTCGAAGATGCCCCGGAGGTCGTCGGCATGGGTTGTGGATTGTTTGCTCTTGACGATCATGTCGTCGACGTATGCTTCCATCGTTCGACCTAAGACTGCTCTAAAAATCCGGGCTACCATCCTTGTGTAGGTGGCGCCGGAGTTCTTGAGCCCAAAGGCCATGACGAGGTAGCAAAAAATTCCCTCCGGGGTCATGAAAGCAGTCTTCTCCGCGTCCTCTTCGTGCATGGATATCTGGTGGTACCCTCTGAACGCGTCGAGGAACGACATCAACTCGCACCCCGCCGTCTCATCCACCAACTGATCAATGTTGGGGAGAGGGAATGGGTCCATTGGGCACGCTTTGTTCAAGTCAGTGTAATCAACACACATTCTGAACGTAGGCGGCTTTGGGGCGAGGACGACGTTCGCCAACCACGTGGGGTACTTCACCTCTTTTATGTGTTTGATGGAGAGCAGCATGGCCACTTCGGCTTTGACGAATTCCCTCCTGTCAGCTGAGAGGTAGCGTTTTTTCTGTTTGATGGGGGAGGAGGCCGGGTTCACCGATAGCCGATGTGTGATTACCTTTGGGCTGATGCCCGGCATGTCCTCTGGTCCCCATGCGAAGACGACGGCGTACGCTCTCAGGACAGAGAGGATGTCCCTTCGAATCTGTTGGGGGAGCTGTGTCCCAATCTTCAGTGTGCGTTCCGGCCGGGAGACGTCCAACGGAACTTCTTCCACGTCTCCGACCGGTTCGGCCTTTGGTGTGTCTTCTTCGGCCGAGGCGGTGGTGATGGTGTCTATCCGCTCCTCGGCCTCATTGATCTTCCTTGTGAGCTTCAGGTAGCAAGCCCTGGCTATCTTCTGATTTCCTCTGGCGTAGCCGACGCCGTCCTTGGTGGGGAACTTGAGGCATAGATGTCTCATGGAGATGATGGCCTCAAGGTCCTCCAAGGCCGGCCGTCCCCAGATCATGTTGTGGGCGCTGTCCAGGTTGACAACCACGAACTCCATGTCAATCTTGGCCTGACAGGTACCGTCACCGACCACAACGGGAAGCACTATCGTGCCCTCGGCGTCGATAGAGTCCCCGGTGAAGCCGGATAACGGA